TCATATACCAGGCATGCTCTTTGAGAGGTTATCAATAAACTGTATGAGCAATGGTAATTGTCGCCTAAATGTGATGTTAAACAAAATCAGGTTTTTTGTCTGTGATTTTATTTTGTCAAATTCTCCTTTTTCACGTGTATTCTGTCTCTTTACTTGTCATTTGCACGACAGGTTTAGGTAAGAATGAGTATCACTGTTAGTGTTGGTGCATCGTTTGCTTTTGAATGTGGTATCTGTCATTTTTCGTGACACCCAGTGTTTTGATGACCGCTGTGCAGTTTTCTGCTTCTCATAGCTCGGCCGAAGAATTTTTTGGACTTGCAGTGCATCTCAGCTGTAGATATTCTTTCAAAGTAGATGTTGGAATGAAAATACTGACAAAGGCAAATTATAGTTTCTAGGTATAAACTTCCAGGTAAGCATCACATAGGTAAACTGTCAGAAAGCAGCCTCTGTGAGTCAGTTATTGGAGTGTGCTTGGAGTCTAATGGGCATGAACCTACATTTTTATGTCAGCAATGTAGCTAAAATGAGTAAAGTGTCAAAATGTAAGCTTCTTCCTTTCAGTCACTGCTCCATGCTGTGCTTACAACACACTCATAACACAGCAGACCAGTGTATTGGCTATTTATCTTCAGATTCTGTTCATGGCTGCTTTGGTGAATTAAACCTTACGTGGAGAAGAGAGTGGTCATCAAACACTTTCCATTTGCTTTTGAATGGTTCACTGACTGTACATGTAAATGTATGAGGGAGTGATGCCCGCAGGGGTCATTAGTGATGTGTTGTTCTGGTATGGTCATGGGTGGAATTGGGGATGATGAAAGTTCCCAGCAAAAACTAAATCTGCTACGTGAGACTTTTCGTTTCTTTTAATTTTTATCAATTCGATTTTTTCAAATTGGTGAGTTGAAAAACCTGGAATCAAACCCCCCCCCCCAAATCCTCCCTGGATGATGGCATGCCATTTTGAGCTCCTCCATTTGTGGCTGTGTATGTGTGTGTGTGTCCCTTCTTAGGTCAGGTTTCTCTAAAAACAAGTCCCAAGCACAGATCGCAAGGTAAGCATTTTCATGTCAAACCCAGGAATCCCCCTCCCCTGCTTTTCTATAGCTGAGGCCATCCTGGTGTGAACACAACAGCACCCAAGTGTTGGCAGTGGTCCCACCGATGTGCCTCCATCATGATTTACAAGTTTAAAACAGTGCAGGGCATCTCTAACATCCATTCCTCCACTCTCCGCTGGTGACTTCCTGTCTGAAACCTTTGCTGTCTCCCGTAATACCAGCTCCAAATGTCGCTGTTCAAATTAGTGGAGCCACAGAGGTGACAATCAGCTGCTGTCATCTCTGTTACTGTAAAACACTCTTTTCTGTCAGGCTAAAGAAACCCCTTGCCACTCTCACCTGCTATTGTGTCGCGCCAGCTGAAGGCCTCGTGGTTGTGTTCACTGGCTGTAAAACACATAAACACTACAAAAAAGGTGAAGTGGGGTTGTGTCATCCTCTAACAAGACGGAAGATTACAACCAACTTGACATAAAATCCTTTAAGTTTCAGTTGCTTTTGAAATTCACTGTAAGTAAATAAATTCTACCTCCCCTATATAATGAATAAGCTGCACTGCTGAACAGCAACGCTAATCAAATGAATGGACTCACACAAAACTCATTGATCACGCATTGCATGCATATTGTCATCTGTGCCTAGAAGGCTAAACCTTTAAATACAGAGTTATGGGCTTGAGATGTAAATGATGGATTAACATGTATTATTTGGCACAAAGACACTAATTAAAAATATAATCTAACATGTGTGAATACGAAGAGAGTAAAACAAAGATACAATTTCACTCATATTAGTGGAATTTGATGCTTGAAAAATAAACATTCCTGCATTTAATTTAGTTATTTGATCATTCAGCTTTTCCAATGACAAGATTTAAACTATTTTGACATTCTCCCACACAACAATGTATTTTCTTTTGTCCATAAATATGTGGGTATTTCCAAATTATCATAAATTCCTGGCAGAAGATCAAGAAATCTATTACCAGAGGTCAGTAGAGATGTAAAATAAATGGAAAAACATTGATGTATAAGAAAATCTCCCTAATGTATAGCCCTCTCATGCGATATCCACCTAAATAAACATTTTCCATGTGCAGTGCCATCTTTGCATGAAGTTCAATGGGAATTCACATTTTTAGATAAGTGGTATGTGGGCGATCATGTGTGTGTGCATGCTGATGGTAACACATGTTTTGGTAATATGTGCTATTGGTGTGTGTGTGTGTGTGTGTGTGTGTGCTTTAAAATGTGTAATATTTGTAAACATGCATGTCCTCTCTTGCCCCCCCTGTTGGTGATATCAGGACGCTGCAGTGGGACACAGACCCCTCTGTGCTGCAGCTGCAGGCTGATTCTGAGCTCGGGTACATTCTCCTCCTGTCCTCTTGTTCACTGCCTGACAAAAATGACACTGCAACACCTATATTCGATAGAAAATTGATTTGAATTGAGTTGTACATATAAAAGACAAATGTAAGTGTGAATAGATTTAAAACACAAAACCTTTCGAACCACTTATGTGGCACAACCCTCTGGAAATTGAACACTTTGTTAAGACAGAGATAAGTCTACAAATTATTTAGAGCTGTTTACTTTGCACAAATGAAAATTACACTACACGTTTAAAAAGGACAACTTGAGTTTAAGCTCAGTGTAGCCCTGCTAATGATGACATCTTGTTTCTGTTACCCAGGCGGAGGATGCAGAAGCTTGGGGCCTCTAAGATCACACAGGTAGACTTCCTTCCCAAAGAGGTGGTCTCTTACAGCAAAGAGACGCAGACGCCGCTCGCTGCCCACCTGTCTGAAGGTGAATATTTTGTGTATGAGCATGAGTGACTTTCGAAAACATTCTTCTGACGCCAAGGTTGTGAAAGGCAACAGACGGTTTCACGTTGCAGTGATCGTCGTGGTTGTGCGGTTGAATTTGATACCCCTTTGGTTTTCTAGTTCACGGCCCGCAAACCTGGAATTATTTAAAGATCTTACAGAGAGAGGGAGAGGAAGAGCAAGAGAGAAAAGGGAGGGAGAGAGCATATAGTCGACAAGTGTCTGCCTGTCAGTTTATGTGTCTTCCATCACAAAACATCTTGCTTTTGACTCCTGCTCACAAGTGGAAACAGGCTGACAGATGAAAGTCCCCCAAAGTGATTTTTGATGGATGCTGCAGAATCACTGTCTGTTTGTGTGTGAAGTAACTACATGCAGAAATATATATTTATCTCCACCACAGATGTTGTGATTTCATCCATATCTGTTTGTTTGTTAATTGTCAGCAGGTTTACTTGAAAAGCACTGAACCAACTTGTACCAGACTCAGTGGAGGGATGGAGCATGGGTCAGGAGGGTGGGTGGTGGGCATCAAGTCAAAGGATCCATACAAATTTAAATCAACATTGTGAGCTAAGGATCTTAAGCCAAATTTAGTCACTTTCTTAGAATCAGGACATTTTCATTATGCTTATTTCTTTTTTCTTTCTCTCCTTTCATTTTCCTATGATAAGAGTTTAATAGACATGTAGAAATATAAGGCCGTGATGAGGTATGGGTACTAAGTAAACATGAGTATATATTCATTAGTGGAAGTTTTCAATTTTTCAGTTTGCTTATATATGTTCCTCTTATGTATAACCAAAGAGTTTTCAGACTGTAACATATATAGATATACTGTATAATGCATTTATAAAATGTTAATTCTTTAGTCATGATTTGCTGTGAATATATGGTTCAAAAGAAAAAAGAAAATATTGTATATGTATGTATATTTGTGCATGTTAGTGGGTAGCTTCATGTGAGGTTATCTGTGCACAATGTATATGTGTGTATTTGTGCCTCTGCAAGTAGGCGTGCATATATGTACTGTGCAGCAGTTACTAAACACGTGTGGTCAGTGCACTGGATTTGGCAAATTGTTGGCGGTTATAAATTCATGGGTTATAGATTTGAGTATTTTTCCTTCGGAAGAGAAAGAAAGTGGAGAATTGGAAAGATGGCCGCTGCAGTTGTTTCATTAAACTGACCATGATGTTATCGTAGATACAGATATTCCATTCAGAAATGTCATTGTCGTGTGAAGGATTCCACAAACAAATACTATCCCACCTACACTCTACACTGACTGATACACACAAGCATACATAAACACATGCACTCACACACACACACATACACACACACTCCTGGTTGCCAAGACAGCTGGCAGCCATGTGACTGCAAAGGGGTTGTACTTCCTGCTTCCTGTCATTATAATAGATGGTCTGGTGTGGATTCCACCGCCCTCCTCCACCGGCAGCCATCACACACACACACACACACACACACACACACGTCTCTCCTGATCAGCATCCAAACGGTCCGCCTCAACTCCCCCCATTTCCTTGACAGACCCAGGAATAGATCATTTATTCAACAAGTGCACAGGCACTGACTCACATACATGTGCTGGGAGACATACACACACGTGTCTAACATATAAACACAACCAGAACAAGCTCTTTCGACCAAGTTTAAATATATACACAAGGACTACAGATGTCAGATGCTGTCAGTGCACCTACACAAGGCATCAATACAATAAACACACTCAAAAAGAAAGAATTAACAACTGTTACGCACTAAACGAGGCAAATGGGTAAAGAGATAAAGACCAGAAATGAAACTGCCAAACAAATAAGCATACAGCAGTTGTTTATAGGTCAAGTAGGCTGTGTACACATACAAACAAGAACACACACTGTGACTGGTGTGTGCCTGTAGCAAAGCTATATGTTGGTCTATTTTTTTGGATTTCAGCCCCCAACAGTATGTTCAGGTGGTCTCTCTCTCTCTCTCTCGCTCGCTCTCTCCGTGTGTGAGAATGAGAACATCTGGGAGCCAGAGCAGAGCTGTGGTGGTCTACAGGGAGGTGACCCTGGCCTTAGGAGACCCTCCCTGTGCAGACTGCCACAAAGCTTGTGTGTCTGGAGAGAGAAGAAAGGAGGCTGCTGGTGTAGCACCTGCCTGCACTTCTGGTTGAGTGTTTGTTCAGGCCAGTTCCTGTTGCTGATCACTGAACCCTACATGCACACAACAACACAATATCTCATGCTCAGGTTGCAGCTAAGGGTTGCGTGTGTAATTAGTCAAGCTTTGACTTGTAATCTCAATCGAATCTTGAAGTTTGAACAGCTAAATATTAAGTTATTTACATCTGTAAGTAAATGTGAAACACCAAACTTAAAGTGGAGTCATGATGAGTTGTGAAATGGTTCATGCTCAATGAAATGCTATTCAACCCAACTGTAAGGTTGGACAAGTGGGTACCAAGTAAAAATAAGTGTCTGTGCTTTAAAAGCGGGAATGTGGTCAGTGCATACGTGTGTGAGTGCGTGTATGTGCTTATCTACATCTCTGTAGCCCATTGACTTTATATAAAGATGGACGACATAACTGTTCCACAAAAGTGCAAGTAAAGCATTTTGAATGCTACCTGTTGGCTGGCTGTGGTATAGGTCACAAACCCTGCCTCCTCCTTGTTATTGGATGGAACATGGACCAAATTAAAAGGTCAAAGTATACACCAAATTAATTTTTCTCAAAGGTTTCTGACATTTTAGGTGGTTCTTATCACACTAATGTTTGATCAAGTGTTCAGTTTTCTGGTTAGTTTGGATTTATTAACTTATGTAAAGATATCAAAACAGGCTTAAACTTCATGATTGACAGCTGAGAGTGTAGTGGCAGAACCTCGCTACTCCATCTTCTGTTGCTGCTGTGCAGACTCTGGCTCCAAACTCTCAAGATGGCAGCATTTGTCTCTGCCATATTTTGGCCTCATATCTGGATCGTATGATGAGGGGGAGACACGTCGTCCATTTTTCTTTACAGTCTATGGTGTAGCCTGTCTATGCATTGTTTTGGGTTTCTTGTAACTGTAGACAGATGTTGATGTTGTCCAAAGTCTCTGCTTTAAAGACTGTATAAAGACTGAAATAGCCTGTATCATGCTGTGGCCTCATGCTCGCCCCTGAACCTGTGTCAGTTTGGGATTCAAATCTGCATTTGTTAAAATTCTTTTCTCTTCTGCTTCATCACTATTCCTCTGTCCTCAGGGTCCGACCCAGACCAAACTGTTCTGAATAGCTCACAATTAATGCTACCTCTGTGCCATGTAGAAACATATGAGAGAGAGAGAGGAAAGAGTGGGATGAAAAGGGGGAGAAACCCAGCTGGCTGCATGGGAGGAATGGACGGAAAAGTCAATCTGTTGTCTTAATGACGGTGGTGTGTCCCAGGGGTGTGTAGAGCTCTATAGAGGCTCTTATGTTTGTAAACCTTTTAGTGTGTCTGTGTGTTAAAGCTGAATTTTTTTTTTTTTAGGGATAACTTCAACAGTGAGAGTGAATATTTCTCAGACAACAGCCCGACGCTGATGCTGACCTCTGCCATGTAGATACCCGACCCGAGGGGATGGGTGTGGACAAAAATTGGAAATGACTTATAGGTTCAGGTTGGGTTTGGTCATGTTGGTTAGGGGATGTACTTCATTTTTGACACTGCATGTTCCTGTAATCTGTGAAAACGTCAGGTTTGGGTCGGGCCCAGTTAGTTTCCTCTCCAGTTTGGTCAGGTTCGGACAGAAACTGAAAGTGAGCTCATCATAAAAAGGCGTCTGGCAGAATTGTGCTTTTCATTTTGCAGATGTTTACTATGACTTGGATTTTTGTTATCGCCATCAAATGTTATTAAGCCCGAGATGTTTCCTAATGTGAGAGTAATGTAATGCAATGTGGGTGAAATGTGGGAGTCTCACATTAAAACTGTAATATTGTCATTGTGAAAATAAGTGACGCCTCATAATAACTTTAAATAATTGATGGATGACTCAGCGATTCTCTCACAGCTCCGTCTTCTAGTGAACTTCTGACCTCCCCAGTTCTCATGTCTGTCCTTATACCCAGGGTGGCAGGCTGTGTGTGTGTGTGTGTGTGAGACATCAGTCAGCACTGAAAAAGAGCGTGTGTGTCTGTGTGTGTGTGTGTCCATGTTCAATGAATGTAGCTTTATCAAAGTGCATTGATTTTGTGTTTTTGTGAACACGTCCTTGTAAACAAGTGTTTTAAAGATCCCATGCAGTGTGTGTGTGTGTGTGTTTGTGCGTGTGTGTGTGTGACTCTCATTTAAACTAGTTAATGATCCTGCTTTTCATTTCCGGGACTAATTTACTTCCCTATAATCGCAATGTGTAGTTGTCTATGCATGTTCTTTTCCCATTGGCTGTTTACTGATCTGTCTGTCCAGAGTGTCCATTGTGTGAGGCAATCAGATTAAGGCCCAGTCACGGTCGGCTCCAGCTATTTACTGCTATCCTAATGGGTATGAATGGACATGCTTGTCGTGAGGGACGGACACTTTGTCTGCGGACATAGCAGGGACATAAAGTAAGCTCTAATGTTGTGTGTGATGGTAACCTAACCCACTGAGGTCAAACAAAGTGTGTGTCTAGTGGTCGGTGTTTCATGCATCTATCTTGTGTTTAACTGTGCTGACATGAACTTGAGAAAGAGAAGCGGCTTTTATTTCAAACTGACTGATTTGTTTTTCACCCAAAACTGATTTTAATCCAAATAGAGTCTCATTATGTTCAATTGCTTCAGTTTTAGCTTTAATCTGCAAGTAATTGTCCTTATTTTTCTGAATACAAGTATTTGTAAATGCAGCAAAGGTTAAGTTAGGACAGGCAATGTTGCAGTGTGACAGGTGGATGCTTTTTAACACATCGGTGGCCACATTTAAAAGAGACACAGTAGACTGCACTTTTATTGCTACAGT